TTCACTAATGTTCTCTAATAAACCTTTGAGGTTTTCGCAGAACAGCTGGAGTCGTACTGAGATTAAATTACACACAGGTGGAGTTTATGTACTGATGAGGTGCAGGAAATGGTCGGACTGGATTCTATTTAGGGGTAGCAGATGAAAGGGGGGAGAAAGCATATCACAACTTTTTTTTTAGGTTCTTTTCGTTATAGAAAGGATGTTTGAAAATCGTGCATCGTTTCCATTTGAATCTACAATTATAAGGTAATTGGTTTTGGTCTGTCGCATGCGATCCTGGCGAAATCAACTGAAGTGTGTGGATGGTAACCTTTTGCAAGACACTTCATGTGTTAAGTTGCATCTATTTTCCCCCCCTGACAGCTCCTTCTGTAAATGCTGCTGCCTTTTTCTCAAGTTCACAACAGTTTGCTTGTAGCGATGCTTTAAAGGTCTTTAAATAAAGAAGTCTGTTGTAAATGATTTCTGTCTGCCTGAGCTTCTTGTTTGTCTGTGTATCTTTGCTGGCGTCTGTCTCCTGCCAGACGAGAACTGGGGCCAGAACACCTGGCTCACACCACAAAGTGCTTCCCACTGCCCTAGATTTTCTGCCCAGAGCGGTGTCAGTGTTGGGTGTGTGTGACCGTCCATGGTTAATTGAACAAATTTATGTAAAAAAAAACCCAAAAAAACAAAAGAAATATGATTCTGAAAGTTCTCAGTAGTATTACTCATTTTCTTTGCTTTGAATTGGACTCGGATAATCCGCTGGAGTGATGAATGATCTGAAGGTATCAGTTTCAGTAAACGGCTGAGTTGGCGCTGTCATTTCCCAAACTTTGAGCATACGCACAATTTTTCAAGTCTCCTCTCACCTCTCTGGTTAAGCTCAACATTGGGGTTGTAGTTTCGCAATCACGCCTCAAGCTTCCCGCGAGCACACACACACACACACACACACATACATATCAACTAAGACACACACACACACACACAACACTCCTACGTCTATCAGCTTGGCAAATGAAGTGAGATCTTTCAATATGACAACCACAGGGGAAAAGAGAAGTAAGAGAGTCTGCAACCACAGAGAAAGATAGAACAAGCGGGAGGCGAGAAACGTGAGCAGGTGTTTCTCTGTCGATACTTCTGTAGCAGCTGCAACAAAGACCTTCGTCTGCGCCGTCTGCTTCCTCTCAGCCCTCTGTCCTCTCCTGGCTCAGGATGTTTTCTTGCTTTTAAGCTTCTTTTGTCCCACGACGTGCCTGCGCACCAGGTTAGCCAAATGGGGTGCACATTTTTTTGCGCTGTGCGTGCTGCACACCAAAGCGAGGACCCCAGTGAGCCCCATCTGGATCTGTCTAAGCTCTTGCCCATCTGTAAGCAATAAGCGCTCTGACTGCAGTTTTCTGCTGCTTGTCCATGTGCAGTGCCTTGCAAAAGTATTCTTAGCCCTTTGTCACGTCGAAACCACAAACTTCACTGTATTATATTGGGAGTTTATGTGACAGACAAACTATAAGGGGATGAATACAAATGTTCACTGCAGTAGAGATTTTAAACACCCTGACTTGTTTTCCTCCTCCTTCGCAAGATTACTTTTCTTTGTGTTGGTCAATCACACTGCAAAAAACACAAAATCTTGCTAAGTATTTTTCTGTCTGATTTCTACTGCAAATATCTTTGTACACTTGAAATAAGTCAAAACTATCAATCAATCAAATTTTATTTGTATAGCACATTTCAGCAGCAAGGCATTTCAAAGTGCTTTACATAATTAAAATAAAAACTGCATGTGACATTGAATAAACAGTGAGAAAGAGAACAGTTAGCAGCTAACTACTAACTAATAAGCAACTTTTCAGCAAGAGATACCTTGTCTTAAGTTAATGATTCCTTAATATTGATGAAAAAAATACTCGTTATAAGTGAAACAATCTCTCTGTGGAACGAGTCACTTTTCCCGTATTAGAAGTTAAACTGCACCAATATTTAATTCCAAGTTATAATGTAAATAAGGTATTTGAACTCAAATCTGGACCAGTTTGTTTTTGCAGTGTGTAGAAAAACTGAAAAAAAACATTGATTTTTGTGGCTACAACGTGACAAAATGTGGAAAAAGTGCAACCGGTATTAATACTTTAACAAGGTACTGTGATGCTCTTCAGTGAAGTATGTGAAACCAGCCCATGTTGAATCTTCAGCGCTCTCTTGTGTCACTGGTGTAGGCGACAACGGGGTCTGCCTGGACCTGAGCTTTAACAGGGAGCTGCTCCACCGATCTGACATAAAGGACCCTCCACCCGGCTCACCTGGGCCAGAGGGCCAGCTGCAGACAGTCCTTGCAGGCCCAGATGGCGACCCACCTCCCACCCACAGACCGTACCCCATCCCGTTAAACCGCACCGATATCAACCCAATCAGCCTCACCAATGGCCACAAGATGCCCCTCCTGGGCCTTCCTCACGGAGCACAGCCGCCCCTCAGCATGGACTCCTTCCACGACGCCGCCTCCCAGATGACCCAGCCCGTCATGTACAGCCTGGGTCACCTGCTGGGGGGAATCAATCACCAGAACGGCGTCCCGCACCCACATAGCCAGCCCTTTCCGCTGACGCCCCTCGAGGCCCTGCGGGTCATGCGGGCGGACGGAGAGTCCGGGGCGCCGCCCGGAGCCGTGTACCCCTGCGGCCACTGCAGGGTGCTCTTCCTGGACTATGTCATGTTCACCATCCACATGGGATGCCACGGCTTCCGCGACCCGCTCGAATGCAACGTCTGTGGCCACCGCAGCCGGGACCGTTACGAGTTCTCCTCCCACATAGCCCGCGGCGAGCACCGCCTAGAACTCAAGTAGACTGCGTTCATGCACACAAACGGTCACCGCCATGGAGACAGACAGCGACTTAGTCATACAAGTAGCTGGTAGTATTAGAAATGAAAGCATAAAGTGGCGGCTCTGTCTGTCCTCGGCGTTTGTTAAAGTGTGTGTGAGTATAAACGTCGTGGGAGTGTGGCGGCTGTTCTTAGTCATCCATCTGAAAAGATGGCCTGTAAAGAGTTATTGCAGGAGCATTTCTACTCCTCAGCATGCATATATTTGTACGTAACGAGGTTGTCTTTTTGCATAAAGCCGCGTGTTCCCACTCACACAAAGCAGCACAAAATACTGTATTTATGCTGTACCTACTGTTTTATTTTGTCTGTATAAAGATGTAAGAAAACTAAAAAAATAAAAGAGCGGTTCTGTCATCACACACAAGCTGCAGAGCGTTTAGAGATGTTCAAGTTTGCCAATACTGACTGCAGAAAAGAAAAAAAAAAACAACAAAAAAAACCATCCTATTATCTCGAAGGTCACATGTCTCTTTTTTTAAGGCTGTGGTTTTCAGAGATCTGCAGTTCACGGCTTCAAAGGACACCACTCTGCACAATGTGCTGGTTTCTCACTCCAGAATAATATACTCATTTAGCGTTCCCACGAGGTAGAGAAGCCTCAGTTTTACTGCTCGAAGCACAGAACCGAATCACTTTTTTGTTGCTGCAAGATAAGGGAAACTATTCCAGTGCCTTCAATGTAAATGAGTTACTGGATCGTCCCACTGATGCCTGACAGGTGTCAGATCTTACACTTGACTATTTCTAAGACGAGAAACTGGTTATATTTCACATCAGACGTCTCTCCGGGTCGTCACGATCTCGGGACGCATTGCTGAGGACTCTCGGTCTAAATGAACAACAGCTAACTCGTTATTCAGTTAGGAAAGGACGAGAGAAGGCACACAAATTAATTTCAGTCAGCAGTTTCTCCTTCCTCCTCATTCTCGCCTCACCCACAGAATGAATAGTAACAGTAATCCCCACAGCATGATGCTGCCACCATCATGCCAGTAAAACTCCAGATAATGGGAATTTATCTGTGTGTAGGGCAAAAAAAAAAATGCATTGAAAAATGAGGGTTTTGTGGGAATTTTCAACATGACACACTTTTAAAAACTTCCGCTGACGACCAAAATGTGCAGTGGGGAAGTTTTGGTGAACACACTCACACACACACACACAAAAAAAAAAAATTGACAAGCCACAGAACTACTTCATCATGGCCGTGCGTCGGATTGCGCGTGCGTGTGGATGCACTTCGCCCACATGGCAGTGCAGGAACTCGTTCACGCCTTGCTGGCTTTAAGACCAGAGGAGGGTGTTAGCTTCTTCCAGCTGCTACCTCACTATCTGTCCTCTCTATCAGAGCCAGTTCCCCTTTCTCTGTTTGGGTTTGAAGAGAAGTGACACTTGTGAGGCCAAACTGTCTTCACAGCTTCAATTCCACATGTCGAGTTAAAAAGCCAAGTCATTCATTACATCAGCACGGCTTTGCTGCTTCTCTTTTCCCAAGCACAAGACGATGAATTCAAGGCATTCGTCTTCTGGGTAAACGGTACACAATACCGAGTAAATAAACTCTGACTAAAGCGGATGTAATTGCCCGTTCATGGAAGTGTGAGTGGCATTTTTAATGAAGTAATGTGTTATTGAGTATTGAAGGGATGTGCTTGTGCCAAAAAGTCCCATTCCCAACATAAAACCCAGGGTTAAGAAGTTGGACTCAGTACATTCAGAAGATGTCGGGTTTTTAGTGACATCTACTGACTGATGCCTGGGACTCACGCGAGGTACTCAGAAGAGACGTTACAAAGCAAAAACGAAACAAATTATCTGTGATGTAGAGCTGGCTGGCTGAAACAGATGAGAAGACAAGTAGTTTAGGTCCATTACCCTTTGCTAACGATACTAGACGGAAGATTGGTGAAAGAAATGAAGTGAAAAGAGCGCCTATGGTTATTTATACCGACTTCCATCAAACCCAACCTGACCATGTTCTAGTTTCAAGTTGGGAAACCCTTGGTCAGTTTTTGCGCTCAGTAATCAGGCAAGCCACTAAAAGCACTACAAGCAATTAGCAAAGTACATGCCTGCATATGCATTAAAACAAATAAAGGAAAAATTTGATCATTTTTAAATGTATTTTTTTTGCATGTGGAAGATTTAGTGAGATTCAAACTACAGTAAGCGCAACTTTACTATGATTCAAGTACACAAAATTTTGAGATGAAGGTTGATGAGAATCTTGTTTTTCCTTTTTTTTATTTCTGGTTTTAGGAAGCCATTTTGCTTACTTGTCTGACTTTGATTTTTTTTTTCTTTTACTCCAAGAATCCAATTCAAATAAATAAGGCTTTCTACACTTTTTTGTGACAACCAATAAAAAATAAATCTAAACATTTGCTGCTTTAGAGCAAAAGTTGAATACAAGTTTTTTGTGTAATGAGTTGTACACAAACAACTCATTATTTTCTTGTGCGGTGCAATACCTTTCCAAATAATTAAAAGGAGATTATTATAAAGTGAAGAAGAATGCAGTTATACCAGGGATGCTTGTGTTTATTGTTTCCCCATGGAAGCCCTTAAGGGCCAAAAGAAAAAAACAATATTCACTGATTACTTATGTGTCATTTTAGTTGTAGATCATGTAATAAAGATAAATATATGTCAATAAAAATGTTTTGTTTACAAAAGGCATTCATAATTGATTCAAAGTGTCTTTAATTACTTCATTATTGTCTGCTGCAGCACCTAGTAAATCTGTTTTATTAGTAATAAATTAGCGATTTTAGCAGTGAACCTTAACTGTCACAGCTGTTCAAGTGAATGCAGTTGTTCTGAATTTGTCTTGCAGGGCAGAATAGAAAATCAAATGTTGGGGTTTATCGGAGTGGGGTGCTTCTTATTTCAGCCTCAGCTTTTCATATTGTTGTAATTTTTGTAGACCTGTTTGCCATTGTCTGCCGTTCTGACCATGTTTGAGATGTTTTGTAGGTGCATTGACAACATCTCAAAAAATCTACTCGTACTGTTCGGTATGAAAATGTGGTTTTATTGCTCCAATAATATTCCAAATTTTATGTCTGAAGGTGTCTTACTAATTTTTGTTTGATCAGGGTTCAGATATGTGTTATATTTGACTGGGGATAATTGGGCTTAGAGACAAAATAAATCAAGGATATAAACCAAACTTTTGACAAAATTCTAAACTTCTTTTGTTAAAATTACGAATCAGACATGAGCATTCCATGAGTATTTATCACCACAATTAATTCGATACAGAAATTGTTTTAAGAAAATGGCCCACGGTTTGTTTGAGCATGAAATGATAGGCTACAAACAACGGTAACCAAGTAACATTAATCTATGGTGCACTCCAGCAAAGGAATAAGGGAAAATAAAATACAAACATTGTTTTAAGATATACCATGGTTTAAAGATTTACCTAAAATAATTTATATATATATATATATATATATATATATATATATATATATATATATATATATATATATATATATATATATGTATGTTACTTTCCACGTTATGACATTATAGCCCATTGGGGAGAAAGCCAGCTTCAGCCCGAATGGTGAAATACCGGAGAAATATCTTGCAATTGCATTCTTACAAAGTCCAGCAGATGGCGTTGTTTCTTCACAGTTTATTAAAAAAAAAAAAAGCAGTCAACGGTTTTTGCTGCTTGAGCTAAATTATTTTAACAGAGCAATTGAGCGATGGGTGAAATGTATGATTTTATCTAGTTGAAAGACATATAGAGCTATGAGCTTAAAATGTTAAGATAGAAAATTGATTCAGATCCCAAGTTGATGCCTTTGCAGGACAAATTGTGAGCATGCGCACTGCATCTGTTCTGAGGACGGGAGGAGGACATCACGGTAAAACGTAGAAGCTGCGAAGCAGCGCAATTTTTTACACGCCGAGATTTGGTTTCACCGCTGCGGCAAAAACACTCCCGTGCTTCTGACGCGGCAGATGACTATGCCCGGTACAGCGTTAAAGTGCCGGATGTCTACCTGACAGGCCTGGCCGAGGTCTGGGCCGTTACTCGGGAGGAGAAATTTATTTCTTCATATGGGAGAAGCATGCGGGAAATGGTCGGAGGCTGCTGCGTGTGTTCAGACGAGCGAGGCTGGGCTGAGAACCCGCTGGTGTACTGTGATGGACACGGCTGCAGCGTCGCCGTTCACCAAGGTAACATTTAGCCGCCGTTAGCTTATAATTAGCGGGCAGCTGTGGTCGCTGAGCCCGGCGGCTGGAAGCGGCCAGCGGCGCTCAGAGGACGGCAGGTCTCTGAGGTAGGCTCGCTCTGTGTACGTGCGTGTTGCGAGCGTGTGGGAGGGGTAGGCAGGGTAGCAGGCAGGCGTGCTGTTTGTTGTGAACGCTCAGGGCCAGGCAGGCTTGCTGACATCAAGGAAGGATGGATGGTGCCTCCATGACCGGTCCGTGTGTGGCTGATCATGACACGCAACCAGTTTTCACCACAAGCCAGCCCCGGTGAGGCCCGCCGGCTTGGACACTTGCTTTGTTTTATTTACCTCGTATAATTGGGCGCAGCTAACTCCCAGGATCATATATCCATGGAGTAAATCGTCAGACTTGATTCTGCGATGTTTATTATTTACAGAGCCTGGCAAAAGTATTCACTTCTTGAACTTTTGTTTTATTCTTCACATTGCAACCGCAAAGTTGGAACAGACCAACACGACGTAGTGCAGAATTGTGATGTTGTAGAAAAGAAATGCATGCAAGGTGTGCTTTTTATTTTGTTTGTTTGTTTTGTTTTTACATTCAAGCTGTTGTTTGAAGGCCTCAGTTAGTGAACATCACTGAGACCAAAGAACATAGCAGACAAGTTAAAACTACAAATACTGAGTTTTTGAGCACTTTGAGTAATGTATAACAATGTACCAGTTTCATGAGGATCCACATAAACTATCAGACTCATCTGGCTGTAAGGAGATAATAATCAGAGGAGGAGCCAAGAGGCCCACGGTAACTCTGGAGGAGCTTTAGATATCCACAGCTCAGATAGGACGATTTGATGGGAGGACAACTATGGAGGAAAACATGCAGGAACAGATCTGAGACTCGGTCAGGTTTGGACTGCGGGTCTGTGAACATCAATTTTCAAGTCTTGCCCCAGATTGGGCTCTAATGCATCGACATGCCTTCGTTTACCTGCTCTGTTCTCTGTATTTCTGTCATAGTCCTGCTGGAAGGTGGAATTGTAATAGGATTTTCCACAAAATGTTGTTTCAGTCAGATTTGAATACAGATGCGCTCCACTTTTTCCAGGTTTTATGTTCGTATGGAAAATAAAAGCACATACAACCCAAGATTATGGACTTCTCTGTGTCCTCTAACACAAATTACAGTAATAACACTGAAGATTATGGCTGCCAAATGACAACGTGAACACTTTGCAAGGCACTATGAGATAAATGGAGTTTTGTCTCTGAAGTGACCAAGAAGTGCTTAGGTTTTATGATAGATGAGTTAAAGGCTGAAATAGCTTTAAAGTTTATGGCTGAGATGAAAGCGCCCTATAAATATGAATGAGATGTTTATGAGGATTATTAAAACCAAACTGCATCCTGTAGGAAGAAGAAACATGTCTTCTGCTGTGGATAAACTCAACAAAGACTATTACAGAAGAGCTATGAAGCAGCAGAATGGAAATAGTTTTAAATACAAAAGGGATTTATTTTTAAAATATGTGGAAGTTGCTTTTTTTTTTTTTTTACATTCTTACATCTTGTAATTTACCAAGATTCATAAGTTCACTTCTTCTTGATGTGCCAGACAACATTCTGTGAAATCAATTAGCCTTCTTCAGTACATTTAGTTGTTTTTACACATCTTTAGGATTTTGTAGTAATAAATGCTGACATTTTAACGTTTCACTCGTTGGTCAAACGGTTACAGATATTTTGAGTGATTTTGAGGTTTTGTTGGTGTGGCTGTGGGTCAGTGGAAAAAGTAATCTGGAAATGACTACAAAAAAAGAAATCAAAATAAGATTTTTGGTTTAATTTTAAGCTAATGGATCATTTATCACTTCCTTTTAATAATCAGGTAGAAATATATTTTTGTGAGCTCTATAAAAGCTGCACAGAATCCTGAATTATAATCAGCATTGCAATGGGAGTTTATGCAATATCATAATAACGTTTATGTTGAAGACAATAATTTATTTAGCCAGTCGAACAGATTTTCACTCACTTTAATGTTGACACCTGACGGTATTTTTGGTGATGGAGATGCTGAAACACGACTGTATAGCCCAAGTGGTGGAGATCTTTCCTTTTTTATTATTTGGACTTTGAATCAACTCTCACTGGGGGTTAAGCAAGTTTCTGACATATTTTTTTGTCATTTGTAATTTATTTTCAAGAGAAATAAGCAAGAAAAAAATGCCTTAAAATCAGATTAAGTATGAAGATATCAGAGATTTTATTTTTATCGCCCAGCCACATCTCCAACTTCTCCACAGGACATTTTTTTTTGTCATTTAGGTTCCTTTTTTTTCTTTTTTTCTTTTTTTGTTACTTAAATGTGAAGCACCATATTTTCCAGATATTGTGGAGATAATACTGCTTGTCTCAAAATTCAGATTGAATTTAAGATTGTCCCCAAGTCTTTGAACAAATATTATTTTATACGGCAAATTAGTTTATGATTAGGAAGCATTTCTTTTTTTTTTAAGCATTTCTTTTAGAGCATATTCTCCTCATCTTGTCAAAAATGTGTTTTTAATTAGACTGAAGAAGGGAAAAAAAAAAAGCAGGAAAATAGAAGTCACTTGGTTTTGTTTGTGCGTTTGTCCCAGCGTGCTACGGCATTGTCCAGGTTCCCACCGGCCCGTGGTTCTGTAGGAAGTGTGAGTCACAGGAACGAGCAGCACGAGTAGTGAGTATGCCAACATGTCTCACTCTTCCCATCTCACCTGCAATGACTGATTTTTCCGCTCACAGTGAGCTCTGCTGTCTCCTCTTTTGCCTCAGAGATGCGAACTGTGTCCCCACAAGGATGGAGCCCTTAAAAGGACAGACAGTGGCGGTGAGTCTCTGTCCACCTTAATTCTCCCGACGTTTCTCTGAGATCTCCATCAGTGCGCCTGAAACAGATTAAAGACCTCCATAAAGGGCCTTGTCATCTTCCTCTAATCTCTCTGCTGCTCAGGCTGGGCCCACGTTGTGTGCGCGCTCTACATCCCTGAGGTGCAGTTTGCCAACGTTCTCACCATGGAGCCCATCATCCTGCAGTATGTCCCACATGAGAGATACCTCAAGGTACAAAACATGCACGTCTAAGTGGAAAACCTGCATTAGTGCTGCATTGGAGAGCAGAGCTTTATCTGAAATCTGAGTGTTAGGATATACTGGTTAATCCCTGAGATTAGAGTCCAGTGTGCTATGCCATCTTTAATCTGCTGTGCATATTTTACGTTTTGAAGGGAGGGGGTTTTCCTTCAAAAAATAATCAAACTGGGTCTAAAAAAAAGAAAGAGAAAATGACCTATAAAAAAAAAAACAATCAAAGGAGCACATTTTTTTGTGCAGAAACTGGGAGTAAAAGTTATTTTTGTTTTTGCAGGAGACTCGTATAAACTGAACAAGTGTTAGAGAGATGGTTCCCAAAACCAAGTAATTCACTTTTTGCAGTCAAATAAAACTTTATGCTTCTGCAGGATGAGTTGAGTGGAGAACTAAGCTCCTTTTTACTTTGTTGTTTAGAGATGCACAGATCAGAGCTTTTATAATTAACTTTGATTGTCTAAAAATGGCTGAATTATAGAGCTGTCTCTCTTTGTATCACTCCAGATTATTGATCAAAATTCTCTGTGCATATAAACCAGAATAAAATTAATTACAGCATATCTGTTTTACTGCTTACTGACCAATTTTAACTTGCTAACTTTTTTTTTTCATATTTTCCATTCACTGGCTTTCTTATCAACACTTATTTACAAATCCCTAGATGTTGCAGCAGCTGCATATTTCTGTCAAACAGGGTAAAACAAAAGACAGTTTTGCTTTATGGAGGCCAGAGATTAGAAAATCATACAGCTTGGTTTTATCATGACACGGTGGTGATAAAAGTGTGTTGTAGTTGAAAAGAAGAAGCTTCGGCAAAGGAAAAGATAAACTGGGTCAAAGCAAAGAATGTCTAGTTGCTGATCACAACATCTACCTTCTTGGCACCAAAGGAAAACTAACTTTCCTAACTAAGTTTCTGCTCAGAAGGAGAGTTTAGCAGAGGTAGAAAATGAAAATATGCTGCTGTCCTTTCCAGACGTCTAAACTGTGTTGGTTGGCTGTCGTTCTTGACCAACAAGAACAGCAGCATTTACTCTGTTCAAATGCAAAATTCACTAATTTACTGTTAAAATTCCAATACTTTCATTCAAGACCATTAAATTATTACATATAGAGAGTCTAAGATTAAAGCAAGAGATTTTTAAATTGTTGTTTGGCCTGTTTTTTTGTTTTTTTTTTTCATTTTTTTATGTGGATGGCGAGAGGGTGAAGATAAAACTCATGTCCCTCTGAGAGAAACCATAGGTGATTGATGTTATAGCATGAGTTTCCTCAGCCCTGTTGTTGTGTGTGTCATGGTTTGTTGTGAAGTTTCAGTAAAAAGTATGGCTGATGGATAAACGCCATGTGGTCTCGAGACACACCGCTACAGCTACCTATACTGCAGAAGGCTCCATTTTGCACAGTAAAATGTGCATAAATAGTATTTTAAAATACTTTACTGTCACCTGGACGATCAACAGGAACTGGATTGGAAAAGAATTAAGTAATTTTAATTTGGGCAGTAACTCTAGTTAAATAATTGTATATATCTGTTGATTTTTAACCAATAGTTTGTTTTGGACGTTTGAGTCATTGATAAAACTTGAAGATAAAACCTCTGTCATTTCAGAGCTGTTTTGGCCTCTGAACCCTTTGTGATCCATGGTTCTAACGCAAGTTACTCTTCTGATCCAGAACAATCTTATTTTGGGAGATTGGCATGACAGAGTTGGTTCAAATGCAAGGAAAGCACTGAAATGGCCACGCTGAGGAACTGGAGGCTAATTTCAGCTTTATGTCATCAATCAATTGATTTGATTGATTTCATGATGTCTCCACTTTTATGTTACTAATTTAATTTCAATAAACGTGTCGCAGTGTTCGGGTCACAGATTCAAACTCGGATCAAGTCTATCGAGTAAAACAGAAGCAGAAAGAAAGTGCGTCTTATGTAATCTGCCCCTCTCATATTCCAAGACGACGGAATAAACAGTAAATATTTAATATCTGCTGTGGCCCATAGACTGGGAATGATGTTGTTTTCGAGCAAATTCCCTTCTTATTCAGCTTTGATTTTATGGACATACAAGTGTTTTAAATCACTTTCATTGGATGCTGTTGCACAAAAGTTTGGTGCCAATTTATTGTTGGATAACTAAAAACTTTCACTAATTTTTTAAATGTAAATGTAAGTGAGTTAATAAGCAGACTGCTCTCTTGAATCTACATTATGTAGGATTTTTATTCTGTTTTTTGTTTTTTAAAAACAAACAAGATTTTTATGTTGGTCACATAAATGTTGCCCCACACATCTATGCAGTGACTCAAATGTTGAAAAACCAGTGGCTAGCACAACACATGATGTGTATTGTATTATTCACTCTTACCTTTATTCTGTATTGAATTTTTTTTTTCATACTTTGTTGCTGTGCTCCCACCTACACATCCTGTAAAAGCCCTAAGCTGAGTGTGTCGAGGTCACGGTGACTGTTGTTCTGGGAACTCTGGAAGATTTCCAGTTGAAGCAGATGTAGGCTGGAGCAGCGTGAAACAAAGATGCACATTTACCATCAAAAAAGAAAAAAAAAATCCTCTGTATTCATTAGATTTAACTTGGTGTCACCTGTTGCTTCTCCTATACTCCTTAAACATACAGTCTTTAATGGCCGGCTGATTGTGTACAGTTCTGATAAACTTGAGTTAAGATACTTTGGTTCAATTTCATTATTAACACAAACATTTCTGACAAATATAACACAATATAACTTGTTTAATTTAAAACCAAGATCCACCAGCCAGGCTTTTCCTGTCAGTTTTTTTCATGGCAGTTTTCTTTGATTAGCTCACCTGCAGATTCAGATTTTGTGGATAGTATTTTTTCCTCCTAAGACTGTAACACATTATACTGGAAAAAAGGGGATTTATGTTGTTTTGTTTTTGATTTATGAAGCATGTGTCCCTATACATTTGTTTGATTTTAGTGGGATATAGTAGTTTATTTGTTCCTTAGTAGGGAAATTCATTAGAAAAACTGATGGAGCGCACTGAGTTACACAGCTTAAAAACCAATAACTAAAACTTAAATACAAATTCAAAAATCTAAAGAATTTCCTTGTGCTTGTTTTGTTTAAATTATGTTTTAATATTTTACAAATATTAATAAAAATATCAACAGCTTATTGATAAACTCAAAAAACTGCATTTAGGCTCATGTTTGTTGATGGACCTGAAATTTTGTGAATTCTTGGTTTTGCTGCATTAATGCAAATCTAATGTTAATTTCCTGATGGTGAAAAATGAACTGAATCTAATCTCTTTAGATTAATTTGATTCCTGCTGCTTAGCTTAAATCTCTGCATTGATTGTTAATCTCTAGTTGGCTGTATAAAACACATGCTGCTTCTATTAGCTTGTTAGTAGTTTTAAAACTATAATACCTCAATAGAAGTACTACCTTATACTTATTTATACTTCATAAATCCAATCATAATTGGATTATTTTCTTTTTGTCAGCCAAACAGTGTAGCAATCTTTCTTTAGCCAGACGACCAGCAGTGTGTAGCAACAGGTGGGGAGGGGCCAGCATTTCAGTACTCTATGCTGCACACAACAGTAGAAATTAGTTGCTGAAACTCCAGCATCTCTTTAAAAGCATGACAGTAAATTGTAGCGGTTTTGACACCATTACTAAAAAAAAACATACAAAGAAAAATTTTACTTTTCAATCCTTAATATATATTGATGCTGGCAGTAAAAAGTTTAAGGGGGTGGACCTTTAGGAGGACTGGATGCATTTCTTCAAGACTACTTTACTAGATTGCCTGAAAGTTTGGGTCCCTGGACGGCAAATAATATTGTAGTTCATCTACAACATGTGTCGTATCGGATAAACTCTCCTAAAAGGAAATCTTAGGATCATTTTGGAAATCCAGTGCCTTTGATGTGCGCACGTGCGTGCATGTGTGTGTGTGTGTGTGTGTGTCTATGCCTACATATAAATACACATGTGTGAGTGTTTGAGGGCCCGGTTTCATATTACTGTCAGCTACAGTAAATTGTATGCAGCTTTGCCCCGTCAGAGCCATTCATCCAGATTTTTTGCAGCCTGCATTCCTAGACAGCCTCACAATGGACAGCGAAAACTTGAGAAGCCACTCTTCCCTTTTACATGCTCGGTGCGGCTGTGTCTCCGGCTTTTCACTGCACGAGCGTCATCCTCTGAGAGCGAAACAGAGAGCTCTGTGGGATGTGGGGAATGGAGGGAAAAGGGAGAGAAAGAGCAAACGGAGACGGCTGGAGTGAAAAAGGTGAAGAGCCTGCTGTTCCTTTGTCTCGCACCTGTTGCTAGGCCTCTCCTGCCCCCTGCCAGCCTGCCCTGCTTGCTAAAGGAACGCTGACGGACAAGTACAAAGCTTGCTCATTTCATCTCGTGCAGGCCCACATGTACAGTTGAAACCAGATACTTGCATATGATGTTTGGAGAGTCGCATAACCTTTCTTTATCCTCCCTCCGTGGCTTAACATCAGACTAAACATTTCCCATTTTAGGGATCATGAAGGAGGAGTTCGATTTAATTCGGAGGTTAAAAATGAACTAAGAGTTCAGTCGTATTCAATGCATTGAGAAGAGGCCCGTCTTTTATTTGTCTTGCTGTGATACTCCAATCTTAAATATGTTTTCATTGACTGGAAAGCACAACAAAAATGAAGTTTTTCGAACCTCCACTCGTGTGTAATTTATTTAATGTGCTTGACTTGGTGATAAAGCTTCGGAAATCAATAGATTTTTAAAAAAATATTCTGATTTGTTGAATGAGTCTGCCTTTTACTTAATTTGAGAAAACCCAGATGATGATGTCATGACTTTGTAAACATCTTATTGGTTAATTCCAAATAATTGTTTTAAATTGAGGCATACCTGTGAATATATGTCAAGCCCACATCTCAGCACACAAAACACAAATAAAGAAATTAATAATTTTGGACCTCTATAGGTCTTGTTTAGCTATGAGTTCAATTTCCTTATGTCTGAAGGTTCCACATTCTTCTTTTTAGATAATTATATCCAAGTAAAAACAGTTCGGGAATGTTCAGCCACGATACTTTCCAGGGAGGAGACGGGTTGTGTCTCAGACGATCTTTTATGAAATGTGCCAAATCATTATAAAAGCCAAATATTGCAACTAAGTAGACTGATTATATTGGCCATTTCTACATTTGGTTGAAAATGAGAAACATTCTTCCATCAGTGAAGTACAGAGGTGGCACCATCATGGTGGGGGTGGGTGGGTGTTTTGGAACTGGTTCACTTCATAGATGGCTACATGAAAAAAGAAAATGTTGAAGCAACATCTCAAATCATCAGGCAGGAAACTGGAGCTTGACCGCAAGTGGGTGTTTAAAATGGACAATGAGTCTGATCATATCAGCAGATTAGTTACAAACTGCTTTGACCGTCACCCTCAATATCTTGATTTTTATGATTATTTATGTAAAATGTACTTTTTTGAGCTCTGTATCATCCTGTAATGTTACAGACGGCGCCTAAACGCTTGATCCCACAAAGCGCCGCCTTTTGCATGACGCTCTTCCTCGGAGCTGCAAGCTTCTGCCTCATAGAGCCCTTCTTCCCCCATTTCTCCCCCATTCAACTCCTCCAAACTAGCGTCAGCAGCAATTAGCAAACAGCTGGTGGGACTGCAAGTCTGCTGAGCTTATCATATGAACCACTTTGTAGTCCAGCGGTCCTCAAGATGGTTATAAACGGCATAATTAGAAGCATTGTGGGAAAGAGTAGGAGCTTATTGAGAGAGAGACCCAATTTCAAGATGTCAAATTACGTAGTAAAATGTGTTGTTATATATTTACAGCATTTTTATTACAACCAAAGGTAACCTGATTGTGCTATAGAAATGGCACTGTGTGCCAGGAAAATGCATGGTACTGCCCCTTTAAGGACAACAGAGTCAACATGACACAACACAGTCCCACAGAAAATTTCGTGGGCAGAGCTGAAAAGACTCAGTTACACCTGTTCTTTTGAAGTTTCTTTACTCTACTGGGAGAGGCTTGTCAAAGCATCTAAACCAATCCGTAACGATTAAAAATCAATACTACCAAAATACCAGGGATCCAAATGTAAACATTTTCATTTAAAGAACGTTGAGCTTTGGCAATTTAGCAAAAAGAAATCCTCTTGGTACTCTTCACTGACCAGGAAAAGTTCAGTCTTAACGTTGGACAGTGAAGGGAATCGTTCTCCTGATGCATTCATTGTGTGGATGGGAGCACCAAAAATATTTAAAGGTGATGACAGACGATCCAGTCTCCCTAAACATCTGGTGAACAGTTCTGCCGTATCAAACCCTGAAGAAACAATTTTGTTTTAAACCCTCATCTGCTAAACATCCTAATCCGTTACATTAGCGCTTTAATCTTTTATTTGGTGCAACTCCCTTTTATGTGTTTGCTCTGGTCACGTTGGTATAAACACTGCACATGGCTGTGAATTCTGAATCGTATTTCTGTCTTTCTCTGGTGTCCTCTGCCGCCCAGACGTGTTACATCTGCGAGGACCACGGGAGGGAGAGCAAGGCGGCCTGTGGAGCCTGCATGACCTGCAACAGGCAGGGCTGCAGACAGGCTTTTCACGTCACCTGGTGAGTGATGAGCATCGTCATCATGTTTGCGTTTGATGTTCGGCGTCTGGTGGGGTTCTACGAAAGGAAATGACAAAAGACGTAGACAAAACATCAAATATTTTGATGCTTTAAAATAGCGATTCTCCTTCTCTGCTGCAGTACCGCATTCATTCTTTTGAATACGTTGTGTACTTTTTCTTGTAGCTCCGTCGCTTACAGTGCGTTCAATTAATGTTAACTGAGGACTTAATTGAACAGCCTTAAATTTAATACTGAAATACAATAGTTAACATTATTTCCCATTTCAGAAGAGGCTCTGGCTATCTGCTTTGCAGTCTGACTGTACCCCTGTATTTGATTTGAACTGTTATTTCTCCTTTGCTTTAAATTCAGCGACGAAACCTAGAAATGCAACAGTCGGGGGAACTTGTACCCATTTTATGATCAGCAAAAGTCTGACAGACGTCTGACCTGCAGATGACGATTTCAGCTGATGACAAGTTTTCTTGAAGAGGAGTAAATGGCATCAATTTGTTGTTTTGTTTTTGTCTAAATTGAAGAGCTGTCTTGAAATAGTTAAATTAATTTAAAAAAAAAAAGATCAACAAGGGATGAGGTTGGAGAGCTTTCTGTTTGCATCTTTGGAAATCTACAATTACTACAAGCGTCTCAAGAAGTTTTGCTGGTGACTTGCAATTGTCTAGTTTTCATATTCATCTGCTCTGACAAAACCAAACAAACCTTTTTCCAGTTAAACTCACCACTCTTTGGTGGCACCAAATTACATTGATGGCAACTCTGCTTGGTATTGAAGTTGTTACTAAGTGAAGAAGATTCAAAGTTTGCTATTGTTTGTGTAAATTAAGTAGCTTATCTATAAAGCGCCTTTCACAGACACAAAGCGTTGTACAGCATGCCATAATTAATGAATGATAAGCCGCTACTTTGTTCACATGCTTTGAAAACTGCGACGCGGCTAATACACGGCTTTCTATGAACGGGTTTCAAAAGACCGTTCTGCTGCATGAGGAAGAGGACGACACAACTTCAGGACGACTGCAGGGTTATTGAGATTGACGCCAAAAGAGAGACTGAGGAAGTGTATGCGAGGCCAGGGATGCCTGCAGGATATTATTTAAACCATCACCTCACCTGACCCACATGAACACAACCACATCCCCAACACGCACGATATGTGTGGCACACAAAACCAGAGCACCTGACCCACACACAAATACATATGCACGCGATGCACATGCCACACAGAAACGGCGACGTCGCACAGTTCCTGACCCATAATATGCCACACGAGGCTCATGGCATACAAAGAAAAAGCGTCTGACCCACACGAGGCGCAACGCACACACACAATGTGACGCATCCACACACAAATGTGTATATGCCCCACGTGATCTGTTTGTCATGAATTACACAGAATAATAAAAAAAGGAAAACAAAATCTTTTGTGTTTGCATTTGTAAACAGTCAAAATAGATAAGACTGGTGTATTCTGGGAAAAAAATGCTGTTATCATCATGTTGGCTTTAGCTAGCTTGTTGTTTAACATTTACTTAATTCATTTAGTAAGTTAACATTAGCTTTTGGGTCAAAATTAGATATAATATTGCCTCTACTCTTAATATAATCAGAATATATTTTGAAAAATGTATTTTATTTTTCTGCTTGTATCTGTGTGAGAGAGCAGTCACTTTAAAATTGGGCTTTACTAAAGTTCTAAAACACAGAAAATGACGACAGACAACATTATAAACTATCTTGAGCTTCTTGTTTAGCATCTCTACCTCCAAGCCACATTTTTTTATATGCATTACTTAAAAGTCTGTAGATCTTGCTATAACATTTCCAAAAGATTGTCAGCATGCCCAGTACACAGTATAGAGCAGTTTCTCTATACTATGTTCAGTCTTCCTGTTACCTGCTTACCGTTCACTCCGTTTATAAGTAGCAGGCTGTATTAACAGTCTTCTGTAGAAAATAGTCTTCTTTGAAATGGCTCCTCACACCTTTTTGTTTCTCTGACTTTATTTTAGGCATATCTCTGATACCTTTAATATATAACTTTGAGTCTTCTTCCCTTCATACGAATTTACAAATAAAAAAATGCTGATATTTTGGTTTTGTTCCGATGTGACGTGTCGGGCCATCCAGTTTGAGGGAGCAGCTAATTACTTGTGTACCCTCAATGACAAGTGAAGGCATAGGTGTAATGAGTTTTCCTTGAAGTCCAGATCTTAGTGCATGGACTCTTTCTCTAGCCACATAGTGCAGCCAGATCTCAGCACGCAGCACGAAGCGAAGAGAAACCTTGTCTAAAGTTCCATCTTGAAGATCATCAAACATGCAAATTTAACTCAAGTACCAGCATCAACATAACATGTTATTGAAATGAATGACGGTCAAGTGCATTTATCTTGTCGTGTTTTGAATGTTCTTAATTAAGAGACCAAATGTTGACTAGGTTGTGAAGAAATCCGGAATAAACTTGAACTCATTCGGTCATGACTGATCTCTCGGGTTCAACTGTGTTGTCTGGTTTGTGTAGAAGCTTGACTCTGACCTATGACCCTGTGCTATGCTTTGCTCAGTGCTCAGATGGCTGGTCTGCTGTGTGAGGAAGAAGGCCCAGAAGCCGACAACGTTAAATACTGTGGTTACTGCAAGCATCACTACAACAAGATGGTACAGAGAAAATCATTGTTTGTGGATATAGCCTGCTTTTCCAAGAGATTTGTGTTGCTTCTTTTTTGTCATTATTGTGATTTTTTTAATATATACAATGAATGAAAAGTTGATTTTTTTTTTTTTTTTTTTTTACAGCAGAAGAAGTTGCGCTCAAGCGAAAATGCTAGTAGCTCCTTCAGTCATCCCAGGGGGCGCTCCAGTTCTCCATCGCAGGAAAAACATCACCACCATAAACAGAGGAAGGTAAACAACTCTTTGGTCTGATTTAGTTTGAGTAACTTGGTATTTACTAACCACCTGCAATATCTCTCCCCTCAGTGTAAAGTCACTTTGTTTTTTTTCCTCTACTCTTTGACAGAGATGGATTGAAACAACTTAAGTGAAACTTTTGCTATAAAAATAGTGAGGCCAGTCGGTAATTAATGCCAATCAGTGAGATCAATAATTAAGAATCTATATAGATTATTGAAAAAGACGCAAAACAAAGCAGGAGAAGGAATGTGTTCAATCAGTTTATTTATGTAGAGCCTGATCAGTGGAGAGAAACGCTTTCCCTTTCGCAGAAATAAATCTAACATTTGAAATCAACGTGCTAGAAAATATTTCCAAGATGAAACGGA